TTCGTACTAACCTGGCAGCTCAGGTTCAGCCTTGCCTCCCCTGTGACTCCAAGTCCTTTCCAGCAGGGCTGTCCATCTCTTGGCCAATGGATCCTGATCTGCACCAAAGCACAGGGTTTTTCCATGCCTGTAAGAAACTTTGTGCCTCCCTTTGTTTGTCTTTACCAGGTCAAATTCTGAAGTTTTTCCAGATCCATTTGCACTGAAGCAGCAACATTTTGTCAAGCCCCACCCCAGTTAAGTATCTGCAATTTGGCCAACTGTGTATTTGCCCTCATCATCCAGATCACTGACAAAGACTTCTGACATAAACAGGACCTTCTAAACCTCCTAAAATGAACTACTGTTCATTTGTTGTTTGTATTCAGTAAGAATTAGTATCAGCATCTTTTCTTGTGTGTAAATTTATACCACCCAACATGCACACACAAATTTTCCTATTCATCATACACTGATAGCCACATCTACACAGATAGAATTTCTGGGTCCCAAATTTGCACATTGTTGGTTATACCACCCAGATCCATCAACAGTGGGGCAATTCCAGGCGTGCCATGAGGGGAGCCCGGTGAATAATAACGTGGGGAAAAAATACGTAGGTACCTGCTGGGTTAGGCAGCAGGCAAGCAGGCATTTTTAGCTTTGTAATTTTGGAGACAGGTACCTCAGATCCACCTGCTTCCTGAAGCTTGCCAGACCACTGCAGTTATTTTGCACAATTCTGTCACTTCAGCAAGCCAGCATGCAAATCCTCCCTGTTGCACCTTATGTGGACACACCTGCCCAGTTCAATGTCAAGCACAAAACTGAACAATGGGGGTTTCCTGCAGTCAAAAATAAAAAAGGATATAAGATTGAATGGTCTGCCTTTAGAATACCTTCCAAGATCTCTCTTGTGGCTAAATTCTCAAATTCTAGCAAAGCTTTGTTTCTTAAGAAAATGATTTTATGATTTTTTTTATTTTATGAAAATAATTTTTTGATTTTATGAAAATCATTTTTTATGGCAGGAAATCAGAAAGGATCTACATCTACTTAATCCATTTTAATTATCAGTAAATATTCATTAATATTGAAATGTCTATTTTTTGTTCTTTTTCCAGTCTTACACCTTTTGCCAAAGACACGTTATATGCTGAGAAACACCAAGTTTCCTTAGAGTGAAAGTTTTAGTAGCCAAGCTATAAACCTCAGACCTAAGGGTTTATGGAGCAAACAGATCTTTCCCACAAACACAACTGCTAAAATAAAACAAATCTTATTTAATATGAAATTGTATCACATGCATTAAATACATATTAAAAGGGGTTTTTTCTGTAAATATCAGATGCTATGAATAATAATCCATAAAATCATCTGAATTCTAAAAATGTGTATTAGATAAAACTGTCATTTAAATCTTTCATAGAGCTCAAGCACACTGAACAGTGATAACAGTAAAACACTACTAGTAGCAAACCATTAGAATAAACTGAAATAAAATTTGATATTTTAAAAATCATTTAAAAGGATCATACTTCTCCCTTTAGATCTCTTTACAGCACTTTATGTAAGCTAAATAAATGTAGCTACCTCCTACTGCAATTTCTGTTCCACAAACTGAAGTGTATGTAAATTTCTCTGAAAAACAAAACCAAAACAAAACAACAAAAAACCCACAACATCTGTCCTTTAATGTGCAGGAGAATTTAATAGGTTCACCTCAAGAAAAAGAGACTCAGTACCAGTGACCTTATCCTTTTTATTGTTAGATATCTTAGGGGAAGAAAATGAAACAACACAAATAAAATATGGTTTAGTGGAAAACTAAACATCTTTAAAAATGTTGTCCCAGTAGATCTTAGTTTACAGTGGATCAGTAGTGTTTAAGGATGAAGACAAGAGCAAGCTATAAACTGCTTCAATAAAAGTCAATTAACCCCTCGTGCTTGCTGCTGCAGCCCTTCTGCCAGCTGTGTTCCGTGCACCAGAACTGTGTAACTTCAAGTGTGAAGCAGTCAAATGAAAATTGCAAGAATAATTACCCACTGAGACAATAACAATCAGTAATGCATATGCAAAACCAAATCTCATGCAGGTTTGTGACTTCAAAAAACATGATGTACAATATAGCAGAACCTTTTTCCAGTCATGTGCCACTAATATCCCCAGGCTGGGAGACCTCTGGACAGGTATAAATCAAGTCTTTTTAAAGTTAGGATATTGTATATGAATGATAGACACTTCTTCCTGTAAAGCAACACAACTCATTAAAGGAAACCAAACTTACGGAGTCAGAGATGACTAGAAAATATTTTCCTTGTTAGAATTTTAATGTGAAGTTATCACTTCTCTTTATCAAAGTTATTGAACTGGAATACACTGTGAGAAAGCTAATGGTTTCAGTAAGTGTTTTTGAAATGTTAACTTTTGTTTAAGGACCAGCCAAGTAGCATAAAACGCTTTGCTACACAGCAATTAATTTTAGGTGTG